AATTTTCGAAAATGTATCATGCTAGGTAAACTGTACCAACTTTGTCACTTGAACAGTAATTACCAGTATTAGAAAAAGTACGCAATATCTCTTTCTTATCAATAATTTTGTAACTGTATAGTGATATAGCTCTATCTATGTGCATATGCACATGCAAACTTTTGGTTAGAATGACCGATACTATGTTCTCCTCCTGGGACATTCTGTACAGTAACAGTGTTGTCGCCAAAGCAATAGTCCGCTTTTAACGACGGGCAGACCATAGAAAAATCTTGCGGCTTAGCCGTCCCTCTAGATAGCTGAAGCAGTTTGTTCATCCGCCCAACTTGTTTGTTACAAAGTTTTGGTGATTTACATGAACTCGGGTCACTGCTTTGGCTGCTCTATTTGCGTACCATCCCTCAGTGTCAGCAACCTTTACCCCTAAAAGTTTATTTATCACAGTAACGACCATCTCAAATGGTAGACACGCAGCGAGCCGTAACTTAACAATGAACATGATTTTAATATTAAGATGGACACAGGGACACCAAGTTACCGGACTCTAGCCCTGGGTCGGGTTGTGACTTAGGCACTATAGGCACTGTGCTAGGGACCCAGGAGAGAAAAGGGGCCTACGAAACTAAGAGATAAAGAGGCAATTCTTGGAAGAACTAATCGTCTACAGTTGCATATGTATACTTTGCCGCAGGAACGTATTTACCGAGCCTTTGCCCAGCAATGATACAAGGGGTACATCTACAGATGCATAGGCAACAAAATGCTAGAATAATAGTAGGCCTCGCGCTCAAAAAAAGTCCGTGTGTTATTAGAGATTTTGTTTCTGAATTCCATAATATTGGTAGTTTATGTTAGCTTCAACAAATAGTTATATTTCAATTATCAGTTCTGTGATATCTTCAACAATAAATGGTAATTATGAATTATTTTTCCATTTATATAATTTTTATCAATACTATTAAAACGTCTAGGCAATAACACTCTCTCACTCACTCACTCACTCACTCACTCACTCATGGAGCTGAGCCCTTCTTGAGAAGCCGCCAATTCTGCAGCTACTCAAGAACTTCCCAGCATTTTATGGAACCCGAGGGTTCATTACCGTGTTCACAAAAGCCCTCCACGGGTTCCTATCTTGAGCCAGATCAACCCAATCCATAACATCTCATCCTATCTTTCTAAGATTCATTTTAAAACTGTCCACCCACCTACATCTTGGTCTCCCCAGTGGTCTCCTTCCTTCAGACTTTCCCACGAATATTCTATATGCATTCTTCCTCTCTCAATTCGTGCTACATTCCATGCCCATCTCACCCTCCTTGACTTGATCATTCTAATTATACTTGGAGAAGATCACAAGTTATGAAGGGGCAATAATAATAATAATAATAATTTTAAGAATTAAAGTATATCACTATATTTAGGAGCTTTCGCGACCAAAATATACGAAAATCACCTCTGAGTTTCGTGAAGCTTGTCCTTCCTTCTTCACCTAATAACTCAGCTTCCACTTAACCGGACTCGATCAACTTTACCGCTTCACCCCATACACTGGCCAGTGTTTATATTGGTTATATTTAATGTTGCCACTCACTCATGGAGCTCAGCCCTTCTTGAGAAGCCGCCAATTTTGCAGCTACTCAAGAACTTCCTAGCATTTTATGGAACTCGAAGGCTCATTACCATGTTCATAAAAGCCATCCATTGGTCTCTATCCTGAATCAGATCAATCCAATCCATCCCATCCTCTCTCTCTAAGATCAATTTTAATATTGTCCACCCACCTACGCCTTGGTCTTCCCAGTGGTCGCTTCCCTTCTGGCTTTCCCACCAATATCCTATATGCATTGATCTTCTCCCCCATTCGTGCTACATGACCTGCTCATCTCATCCTCCTTGACTCGATCATTCTAATTATACTTGGATAAGAGTTCAAATTATGAAGCTCCTCATTATGTAGTTTTCTCCAACCTCCTGTCACTTCATCTCTCTTCGGTCCAAATATTCACCTCGACACCCTGTTCTCAAACACCCTCAGTCTATGTTCCTCACTTAATGTCACAGACCATGTTTCCCACCCATTCAGAACCACAGGCAGAGCTATAGTTTTGTTGAAATGTTAAGAATATTGATCAATTTTAACGTCTTTTCATTATAAAAAGTTTGTCTTTTCCGTAGATATCTTTGTTGTATTTTACGTTATTTTGGCGATTTAGATGCAGATGTGGATTTTCAGACATGGCTTGTGTGTATTTATTATGTTGTGGTGCGGGTGGTCGTCTTATTTTTCGTTGTTCGGTTCTAAGTTTTGGATATGGAATTATTTTTGTTTTAATATTGTTGACTTATTTTTTCTTTAGGTCGTGTTTCTGGTAGTTAAATGCTTTCTACTTGCTTCATTTTGTTTTCTATTGGCTGATGATATGTATTGGCTAGCATTCTGTCGTGGGTAGTATCTCTTTTTATTATTTTCTAATGCTGCAACTCACCATAAAAGCGACGAAGGATATATCACAGAAACAACAGTAGAATATTTAGGGCATTTGAAAAAAAAAAAGTGGTAATGTAGTTTGTTGAGGCACTATGTTACAAGCCGGAAGGTCGCGGGATCGAGTCCTAATGAGGTGGATTTCTTCAATTTACCTAACCCTTCCAGGAGAACAATGGCCTTGGGGTCGACTCAGCCTCTAACAGATATGAGCATCAGGAATCTTCCTGGGGTGTAAAAGGCGGCCGGGGCGTAAGGCTGACAATCTGTGAGCCGATTGTCTAGAAGATGTGGGAGCCTCAACCTCTCACAACCCTATTGGCCTTCATGGCCTGTTGCAGGAATAACTTTACCTTTTTATTTGAAAAGAATAAAATATTATGTCCTAAAGCAGAACACTCTATGAAGAATATCGTCACGATTTAGGGGTGACTATAGACTGCATTTGGATTACAAATCGCTAGATCATACGCTAAGTCTTCTCAGTCTGTTTTCACCAGTCTTTTCCTGGTAATGGATCTTAACAATGGAGATTCTTCAGCTTCTCTGGCTACGCTGTTGTCTGCTGGATAACATTCCACAACTGAATTGTCAACTTAATAACAGCGACATCTCTTCTCAGCCTCACTTGCAACCGTCAAAGTTAGTCAAAATCAGAGTCACTCTAAGACTGGATCTGTTTCTTATGAATATGTCTGGCCTTTTGTCAAATGTAGATTTCGCACATATAGCGAGAACTCTTCCTGTTGCACTACACACAAGTCCTCTACCAGCGCACCCTTCACAGGGTGGATCGTGCCCGTCTTACTTATCTTATGCTACGACAGCTTATTCACTCGAACGGTCGTAAGCTTGACCACTACCAAATTGAAGCCTCTTATATTATGTATGTCTGGCTTCGCCTTGTCCTATTCTGCGAACATGTTCAGTCTCACGATATTGTATGACTTCTGCTTGTTGCCTGCACAGTTTTGTTACATATATATACACACACACAAACACACAAGTCTGAAATTTTCAAGTGGTGTGCAAAATATTGTCTTGCATGCTCTGCAATTTTAGGAGGTAGGTGTCTGCCGCTAATTCCCAGGCGGGACAAGCGTAATTCATTACTGATCTGGTCAAAGCCTTATGGAGGGTTAGCTTAATGTTGACAAGTATACGCTCATTTTTAATAGGTAGTAGATTGTAATAAATGTTCTGAAGGGATTAGCTTCAATAATTTCTATGTGCAGTCTCCATGTAATCCTCCTGTCGAAACTACACCCAGATATTTTACATCATCGACAAAGGGGATATTCACGGCCTGTTACAGGGATAGCTTTACTTTCCTTTTTTACAGGGATTAGAGCTCCGGCCCTTTCGTCGTCCAACCTGTGCGTAACCAGTCGGTGTACTGACTACACCGGACTACGCTATCCCTTCCGCTATAGACTAATATTACTTACCTTAATTGCATAAGCGCCGGTTACGTCGTACTACATGCCACTGCGAACAAAATCTTATGTAGATGGTTGACATTTCTTTACTGTGAAAAATAACTGTAAATACGAAAACGGTCTAGACAACGCTAGGAAAAGCCCACCTGGCCCTGTTTGGCATTAGTGAACTTTCTTGGTGACACGCGACATCTTACAATGATCATCGGAATTANGATGGACGTTTTGTCTGAGAACAGCGAGCACGCCCCCGCCCCCAAGCATACAGAGCTCCACAGCGCTACAGGCTAGAAGAAAAAAGAATTGTGTAAGGCGTCAGTAAGTCATCGATAACACTCCTTTATTTATTTAAAAATATATATCTGAGAAAATAAAAAGACGTAAATGTACAAAATAATAGTAGTATACTCTAATTGAAGTCAAGATATATATTACGAATCGCGGGGAGACGGCTGTAATAGAATAAGATGTTTACATGAATGTACTACAGGGTCATTTTTTGGATTTACAATTATTTTCACAAAAACACCAATGAGAGTTGCACCATCCCAAAATAATCAACGTAACATGGAGCGGAAGGATACAATGCGTGCAAGTACATCAGCGTTAAACTTCGTGAGCGAAGTACTGCCACCTTATAAATTTAAAGCAAGGCCTTTTATTCATCATCCATGGTTTGAGACAGAGCTTACTAGGCATTCAAAAGTGGTACTTTACGGAGACAGAGGGAGAGTTTCCTTTCGTTAAAAATCTGTAACTGCGTCTATGCTGTGACTACTGATCAGTATTTTTGTGCTGTATTCCAGCTGAAGAGGGAACCGTGATAATGTAGTGGGTATAGCGACTGGCTACGGACTTCGACGCGTGAGGGGTTGGAGTTTGAGTCTCGGTATGTTCAATAATTCAAGAATTTTCTCCATGTCGTACAGACCGGCTTTCGATCCCACGCAGCCTCCTAACCGTTGAGTACGGGAGCTTTCCCCAGGGCTAAAGCTGACTACTCACCACCAACTATTTACGAGGTCTAGAAAAATGTGGCTCCATACATCCACCAGCATACTCCTTCATGGCTTAGTGCTTAATTAGTTAAGCACAGGGTCAACTTTACAGTTTATGCCAGCTGAGAAACTAACCAGTGTTGCGTAATTTCCTACGAGGTATAGAAGGCCGAGATTTGAAGAGGAAGTGTGATGCCGCTAGTAATCCGTGGTAATAGCAGCCGATGTGAGTGGACCGAGCGGATGGTGTGCGGAAGTTTGATCAGTTTGGTCTAGAGCGTCTAGAGGGTGACGGATCGTCTTGAAGGGTTTAAGAAGTGTATTCTTTTAAGGTATTTGTAAAGTATAAATTTTATTTCATTAGTATGTAAAGTAAGGTACTGTTACCCTTGTGGTATCTGGTAAATGGAAGTGCTGAACAGCGTTGCGGATGGGTTCTAGAAAGTACTGCGCATACATGGAACCCGAAATGCGCTCACATTGAAATTGATTAACGAGAACCGGTAGGGGTTTTTAAGGTGCGTTGTATAGTTGATCTAACATGAAAGCTGTTAAAACAGATGCGTATACAACATTGTTATTTTAGTAATTAGTAACATTATAGTTGTGTTCCATGCAGTTAATTGATAAGTTTTAAGTTGTAGGGAGGTGTTTAGTACATGGAGGTAATTCTGACAGGACCAAGTTTTGACATTGGGTTGTCAAGCTACGAAGCCAGTTTGAGGTTCCTTCAGCTTATTACTATCTATTATTTCCATAGATTATTGGGTTGTTTAATGATGCAGTATCAGCTTCTAGGAATGTTGAATGAGGTGGAGAAAATAATCAGTGACAGCAAAATAAAGATTTGGTAAAAGAGTTGTGGTGGCCTGTTTCAAGTACCATCGTATCATTTGCCCAATGACACCAAGAAAAATCTCAAAGAACGTTTGCGTAGCTGGTATAGTGGTCGAGTTTTGAAACTGGCACTACTTTCAAAATTCCACTTGAGGTCTGTTTGCCTAAATTATATGTACAACTTTGCCATGAATGATTTTTATTTTTGTTTAATATTCAGAAACTTGAGCTGTATTCCTGTAGGACTTTAAAATGGAAGGCTAAATGTAATAATTGCTACCCAGAATGATGTCAAGCAATGATCTCTCACATAAGAATACCTTGTGCTTGAGAAGTTTGAACTGAACTTCACAGTCAACTCATGCTTTGTGTTTGAAAGATCTTAAGTTGAATTCTCAGCTTGGAGACTGGCTATCCCGACTGAGAGGTTTGTTGTGGTTTTCCTCACCAGGAAGTGGACAGAGTGTACCTCAGATTAGGCCACATTACTTCTTTCCACATCCTACCAATTCATTATTCATTAATCCTATCATTAAATCTGTGTATCTTGAGGTATTGGCAGTATCAGTAAATAAACCATAAACAAATATAAATTGATGAGTTGGGTGCCTTCCAAATAATTTAATCTCTGCACAAAATCAAAATTGTGAAACAGTCACTTTGAAGTTATTTTAAGGGGAATCCTTTTGGTTCTTCATAAAGACCTTAGCAGATATTTGTTATCATAGAACAGTGCATCACCACATTTTGCAGAACTTTTGTATTAAATCATGGAAAGATGTGCAAAAACAAATCCATTTGACACTGAAGTTTTGCAGTTGAGCCACAAATGAGCTTTAACTCATCATAATCAAGACATTTCCTATTTTTTAAGCCTCTCAGCAGTTCATTGTGCTTTTCACATTGTATAGTCTGAAATTCAGAAATTCAAAGATTCAGCAGGTGTAAGACGATACCTTGGTAAGCAGGAGTCATAAATGCATTAATCACCTCCTGCCCACTTCATTCACAGTGATGGTCCTGTCATGTAACATTTAAGTTTTATAACTCATTCAGTTGATAAAGCAACAGGCAATGTGATGCATTCTCTTGTTGCTTGAGAAAGAATGTCCTCAGTTTTGTACACTATAGTAAGAAATTTCTGTTCAGTAATATCCATAGCATAGTATTAAATTTGCATGAAATGAAGGAAGTGTAAGAATACAAATACAGAAACAATACTGTCAACTTGAAGTTTGAACATGAATTTGTTAGTGTGTTATGTACATACTAGTCAGAGTACATGATAAATGAATTCTTCCTGTTGAACTTATTTACATTCCATAAATCCAAGGACAAAAATATGGTAGTACTTCATCTAGTGTGAGCAAAGCCTTTTTAGTCTATTTTATTATTATATAAGAATAGAGGTGTAAGACACCACATCCATATGACTGTTTCCATGGTTGAAACAATCTGTGACACCTGGTATGATGTCATGCTGTTAGACATCCAATTGGTAGTATAGTATTTCAATAAAAGGATGAGAGAAGATCAGGTATATTGAATTTCACTCATGCCAGAACAGGAAATGCTGTAATTTGGAGGTGGTGCAGTTTTAGAAACAAATGCAAAGATTCAGCTATGTGGTGTTTTTTCCATGACATGGGAAAAAACAGACAGCTCTACTTGTAGTGATAATAAGTAACAGTTATAATTTGTCCACTTACACTGAAGTGCCAAAAGTCATGGGATAGGTACCTAGTATTGTGTAGGACCCCCTCTAGCCTGGCGAAGTGCAGCAACTTGACGTGGCATCGATTCCACAAGTGGATGGAAGACCTCTGGAGAGATGTTGAGCCATGCCGTCTGGATAGCCGCCCACAGCTCCCTGGTATTTTTAGGTGCAGGATTTTGGGTGCGAATGGACCTCTCCACCATGTCCCTTAAATGCTCAATTGGGTTCATGTTGGGTGAACGTGGTGGCCACACCATTCGTCGGAACTCTGCAGAATGCTTCTCGAACCAATTCTGGACAACTCTGGCCCGATGACATGGTGCATTGTCCTGCTGGAATATCCCATTGTTGTGGGGGTACATGAAGTCCATGAAGGGTTGCAAATGGTCACCAAGCAGTGTAATGAAGCGGTCACCGGTCAATGACATATTTAGGTGGATGAGCGGACCCAACTTGTGCCACGTGAACACACCCCACACCAGTATGGAATCACCACCAGTCTGCATGGTGCCTTGTTGACAGCTGGGGTCTGCGCCACACCTGAACCATACCATCCACCTGAAACAACTGGTACTGTGACTCATTGGACCACACCACATGTCGCCAATCCTCCAAGGTCCAATTAGCGATGTCACAGGGCCAGGTGAGGCGCTGTGTCTGGTGTCATGGTGTTAACAGAGGCACTCTGGTTAGTCTTCAGCTCCCATATCCCATGGAAGCTAAAGAACGCTGCACTGACCTGCTGGATATGCGTCTGGTACCTCCTGCATTGAATGTGGATGTGATTTCAGCCAGTGTTGCTTGTCTGTTACCACGGACAATTTTAGCTAGATGCCGCTGGTCACGATCATTAAGCACCTGTGGTCGGCCACTGCGCTGTCCACGGTGGGTGGAAATGCCTTCCACAAGGTATTCCTGGTACACATGTGACACTGTGGATCAAGGAATGTTGAATGACCGCACAACTTCAGAAATGGAATGTCCCATCTGCCTGGTACCCACTATCATGCCCCGTTCGAACTCCGATAATTCACGTCAACTTGCCATGAGCAGACTGGCCAGTGTTGAGCCTGACTCACGAGAGAACGCCTCACAACTGATACTGCTCTGGGCATTTCCAAGCCATCAAGGGACGGTGGCGCCACTTAAAAATAAATTTACATACTGCTATCCCATGACTTTTGGCACTTTTGCAACTCAGTATTAGTACACCAGGTCAGAACAGTATGTGTTACATGATTGTAAATGTGTGTTTGTGTAATCCACTCCTGGTACAAAGATGAAGTATGAGTCTTCAAACTGAAGTGCATTTGTGTATACTGTGCAACTGTAATAAAGATTATAGAACAGTTCAACGAGTGGTTGTCTCTGCATATAATGACATCCCACATTTTATTTGTGATTCAAAGTTTGACTAAGGTAAGGGTGGTTTGTACATTGAATATTTTATCACAGTCCATAATAACTGATTTCCATAAGCTTTGAAAAAAATTGATGGGGCAAACAAGTTGACATGCCAGGTATATATGTAATGCTTGATACTGTTTGAAGGTTATAAGAGATAAAAATTGTGAGAAAGTGTTATGTTTGTAAGAGTTAAGGTCATGATTTGTATGTTTGTTTTGTAAGCATTACACTGCAGAATAAGTGATAAATATTTACAGTTACAGGTAAAAAGAGGAAACAGAAGTAAAAATGTTGAGAATAGTGAATGCTGCAGGACAATCCATGGTGAGTAATGGTACAGAGAGTTTTTTTTGTAACTTTGTTGGCTGGTTCACGGCGAATGGTGTGCTGCTTGCTGCAAAGTACATATGAATTTTGCCAATGAATCAGCATGCCTGATGGCTGGTAATGTTTGGAATGAAGCGAAGTAATTGACTTGAGAAACACTTGATGGCATTATATTTCACGGCAGGCAGTGTGGTACATGCATGGCAGTTTATGATTTGTCAGCAGTAGGCATCAGTTGTCAGCTCAGTTAGCCTTTCGTTCTCAGTTACAGTTAGTGGGCAGCGTGGTACATTATGGAGTGGAATATTTTAGAGCAATGTGTATTTCTATATGACACGTATGTGAAATACGGATCTGCTAGAAAGTGTTGATGTAAATTTCTGATGAAAGAGTTCCCAGCAGGCAAACAATTCACAATTAGGTGAATAAACTTAGATCAATGGGAGTCGAATGCTTACTGAGGAGAAGTTAGATGACATAGCGGCTAGACTTGAACATACCCCTAGAAAATCACTGAAACATCTAGCTCCAGAAACTGAAGTGTCATAGTCTAGTGCAAAAAAAAAGGCAACAGAAATGCTGATGCTTAAATGTTATGAAACAACAGTAATCCATGCCTGCCTTGCAGCCATGCAATCCAGCTACCAGGGTTCATTTTTGCAGTGGGTTTCTGCAGCCTGTTGTTGAAGGTGACATCGATCCGCAGTTGACATTCTTTTCTGTTAAAGCTACTAGAGTTCACGGAATCCACATCTGACCTATGAAGTTCCGCACCATCCAGCGAAAGATGATGTGTGGTGTGCTGTAAGTTCAAGGATTGTTGCACCTCTGTTTTTTAATGAAAAAAATAATTGTGAAAAGTGTGTACAGGTCATTCTCGAGCAGTTCTTTCCGTAGTTAACAGAAAAAGACTATGGATGGTTTCAGCAATACTTGGCTACTGCCCACACTGCATATATGTCTATACAGGCTCGATGTTTTTGTGGACAATGATCTGTAGTGATATTTGGCCAGCATGTTCACCCAATCTTAATCCTCTTGATTTTTTCTTCTGGGGCTGTTTGAAGGACAAAGTATACAACAGTAACCCCTGAATGGAAGAGGAACCAAAAGAAAATATTCGTAGGGAAATTGCAAATATTCCAATAGAACAGCTTCAAAGGGTAAATCAGAACATGTTCCACCTGTGTAAGGAATGTCTACATGTACAGGGACAACATTTTCAACACCTGTGATCTCTGAATTGTAACTACTTCATTCTGAACCTTAATGGCCAATAGGCATGCTGTTTCATCAGCAAAATTTGTATGTGCCTCACAGCAAATGGTGCACCAGCCGCTGTGAAGTGCAGAGCCATGGAACTGGCCAACAAAGTAAAAATCCTCCTTGTGTAATTTTGTTTGTTTCATCTTGGCCATAGTGTATGTATTTGCTTCAGTTGAATATTTAAAAATAATGTGCTTATCTCATTTTGTACGTTATTTAATGGTGCTTTCAATATCAAGACTATATAGCATCAGATGATGGGTTGAATGATGTCTAAAATGTTACCACTAGACCGGTCTATTCAGTCATATCTCGTCTCTTCCATTGGTTTCATAAAAGAAATATTGTGTGCATTTATGGGTAACCCAAGTAACTCTGAAGTCCAGTGTCCCATTGTCTGTCGTGATGTTGCATGTTTAGACGATCTGTATTTTGTCTCCAAAAGTGCATAACTGACAGTCTTACATAAGGGTTATCTCATGTTGTGAATCCCTTTAAAAATGTAGAACATGGGGGATTTGCTGAGAACTGTAGAAAAGACCCCCCCCTCGAATAATTCTGCCAGGCAAACTCACATGTGAGAACAAGCATTCAGCGAAGCTGTTCATCAGTGCTTTTGTTTTCTGGCAGTGCACCTGAAGGTCTTGCAGAAGAAAGGTGAACTCGCATTTTGGTAGTTGGCTTGAGTTAGTCAGCTGATCTTCATTACGACTGTTCGTTTTGTATATGTGTAGGACAGTGAGTGAACTTCCGTCAGGTGTTGCAATCATGAACTCATTATCATTGACAGTACCACAAATGACTGGAACGATTATTTGACAACTTTGCAGTGTATGTTACGTGGGTCACCCATTTAATATGTAAGTATCCAAATTACATTCATACACAGGATCAGATTTGAAGTGCACCCAGGCCACCAGTTCCGTGTTAAATTGATCTCCCTTCGTTACTGAATAGTGCATTTTCAGGTCACAGATGCAAGTGCAGTTGTGGAGCATGCTAGCTATGAATCAGTAACTGACTGATTCCATGAAGCAGAGTGCTTAATAAAGCATTGGTTAGTCAACTGCTGAGGAAACTTCCTGCTTTATGTAGAACATGAAGGTTCATTATTATATTCACAAGAGCTTGCGACTGGAGCCTGTTATGCCATGTAGATCCAGTTCACCCTCTGACATACTGTCTTCATAATATCCATTTGAATATTATCCCTCCTAGGTCTCCTAAGTAATATTTTCCATTTGGATTATTTGATCAAACATATGTGAATGTCTCACCTCTTCATGCATGATGTATGTCTCGCACATTTATCCTCTTTATTTGGTCCCCATAATAATATATTGTGAAAATTTTGAACTGTGATGTTCCTTACGCAATTCTCTCCATCCTCCTCTTGCCACTCTTAGATCCAGCTATTCCGCTTAGCATTTTGTTCTCCTTTGGTTCTTCTCCTCATAGGGTGTCTGATCATTATATGAAGAACTGAGGATGATGGTAAGGTAAATGTCATGGCCTATTTTAAAATATAGAGCCTCCACACTTGCTTATACAGGCTGATGAAAATTGTGTAACATCATTTGGTCTCTGATTGTGAATAAGTTTCATATTGCAGAATGGTCATGTTTTCATTGTCACTGAAGTGGAAGATAGTCTGAGCTAAGGGTTGCAGCTGCATATGTGTTTGTGAGACTACCAAGCACAATTATTGATTAAGTATGCTTGATTTTTGTCCTCCTCCTCCATCATCATCATCATCATCAGCAGCAGCAGCAGCAGCAACAAGGGTACAGGACATTGGCTAGTTTCTGACTTCAAGACAATATGTCCTCCCATCCAGCCATGGAATTCATAATGTAATCCATTCAAAAACTTTCTTGAAGATTGCTGGTAGTTTCAATCTCCCCTGGTCATATTACGAGCACTACACAAGGGTAATTTGGTGATGGGGTTGCCACCTGCTGCCTCCAAACTTGCAGAGTGTATTTGTCAGGACACCAACCCTAGATGTGCTGCCTTCCCCATGGCTGTCCAGCCATATCTGCCTGTTGTAGGTTACTCTTACTTTCTCCTCTGTCCTTATCATCTGGTAGTCTAGTAAACCAGGCTTTCTGAGCATGATCATCTGGGTCACTAGTTATTTGATCCTCTCACCATGTTGAGGTGAGACATATGAGAGGGATCTGCTTGGTTGTGTTTTGGAAAGGAGCAGTACTCCTTATCATCACAAGAGCCTTTAGAAGTGACACTATGAAGAAATTCTATAGTATATGTCGGTATACATGTTAGTGCACTTTGCTTTTTTACCTTTGTAATATATCACCACCCCTTCTCAACTTTGCCTTAGAATATGCGATTACGAAGGTCCAGGAAAACCAGGTGGGACTGAAATCAAATGGGACACAGCTGTTGGTCTACGCCGATGATGTGAATCTACTGGGTGATAATGTAGATACCATAAAGGAAAACATACAAACTTTAATTGATGCAAGTAAAGAGGTTGGTCTAGAAGTAAACACAGAGAAAACTAAGTATATGTTACTGTCTTGTCACCAAAATGCAGGTCAAAATCATGACATAAAGATAGGAAACAGATGTTTTGAAAATGTGGCACAGTTCAGATATTTGGGAACAACGATAACAGATCAAAATCTGATTCAGGAGGAAATTAAGAGGCGATTGAACTTGGGTAATGCTTGCTACCATTCAGTCCAGAACCTTTTGTCTTCTCGTCTGTTGTCCAAAAACATAAATATTAGAATATACAAAACTGTAATTTTGCCTGTTATTCTGTATGGGTGTGAAACTTAGTCTCTGACATTAAGGGAGGAGCATAGACTGAGGGTGTTTGAGAACAGAGTGTTGAGAAGAATATCTGGATCAACGAGAGATGAAGTGACAGGAGGTTGGAGAAAACTGCATAATGAGGAGCTTCATTACTTGTACTCTTCTCCAAGTATAATTAGAATGATCAAGTCAAGGAGGATGAGGTGGGCAGGGCATGTAGCACGAATGGGGGAGACAAGGAATGCGTATAGGATATTGGTGGGAAAGCCAGAAGGAAAGAGACCACTGGGAAGATCAAGGCATAGGTGGGTGGACAATATTAGAATGGATCTTAAAGAGATAGAATGACATGGTATGGATTGGGTTGATCTGGCTCAGGATAGGGACCAGTGGAGGGCTCTTGTGAACATGGTAATGAACCTTCAGGTTCCATAAAATGCTGGGAAATTCTTGAGTAGCTGCAAAATTTGCGGCTCCTCCAGAAGGGCTCAGCTCCATGAGTAAGTAAGTAAGTAAATATATTGCATCAAATGTTGTCAAGTATCAGTCTCAAGTTAAAATGGGATCTAAGTGCTACTAGACTGCAGAGTACTAGATAAATAATCAGTGAGTCATAGGTAGGATATTTCTGGTTCGTGCTTTTGACTTCAACATTGCTAGCCATCTGGTCTGTTTCCACCTCCTCCCTATCCACATGTCATGCATTTGGTACAGTGATTGGTCATGATGGTGCTTCTTGCTCAGTCTGATTAGATATGAACTGAGAATCAGGATGATGTCTGTAGTTCATTTACATTTCTGCAGCATGCTCAGTTAAAAAGAACTGTGGTCTGGTTTATAATAATATTCCATTCAGGAAGTCCTACAGAGGTTAGAAGTTTCACGAGTGTTATATTATGCACTGTTTTTATGTGGTGTTAGTAGTGTGAAGGCTTTTAGAAAGGAACTAAGCAAGTTAAACCGAGAATCTTGCTTTATGTATGTCACTATTTCAAGTGAATACAGCTTTAGAGATTATAGACCTTATAAAGAATTCTTAATTTCAGTTTCATCACATTTTATCTGAAATGGTGAATAATCAGAAGAATGGTGTGTCCCTTCTCCGGGTATCTGCATGTTATCCGCAGCTGGTGCTGAGACCTATGTCAACTCAACATGATCTTCCTCGCCACCCAGTTCCACCTCTTAAGGATACGCTGGCAAAATTTGTCAGGTTGTATTGTATAATTATTTATTTCATCTGAAAGCAAATATATCGTTTTATGAGGAAACATTAATTCCCTAAATTTGTCTTATATTCTGTTGCAGTCTCCTCAGTTTTAATCCAGTGGCTTAATCGTGATTAAACCAAGTACACGTATGAAAAGAATCTGTAGTTGCATTTGTGCAATTTATTCATATGCTGAAATTGTGTTGTAGTACTCAGAATGCTTGGTTATTGGTGAGGTATAAAATACTGTAATAACAATACAGATAAATTATTGTGGTTAAAAATTAAGAATATACTAATGATAAGTCACTGATCACAGTGGCCGCATGGTCTAAGCCATGAAATGTCTTCACCCGCTTGAACGCTGGGATTGTGGGTTCAAATCCCACTCGGGGCATGGATGTTTGTCTGTGTTTATTTGGTGTTTGTGTTGGCCCGTGTGGTTAGCAGCCTTGTGTTGGGCTGATCCTCTGTCCATGGAGTCCTGCTGACTAAGATTAAAAACTGGAGTGAAATGAAGCATTTCATGGATTCCCTGTGCTCCACGTGGGAACAACAGGAATAGATAGATAGACAGACAGATAGTGATAATTCAGTGCAGAATTTGATAAAATAATGTAAAGAACTTCAGCATGTTTTGGATTTCAGAGTTTCTGAACTTACCATTGTCCAGTATTCTTTGCTGATGTAGTAGAATCCAGGGAACTGTGGCCCCGCCAGTGAAGAATTCTAGATGATGGACAAAGTCCAACCATCAGAACACTTTAGAATTTACTTCAGTGTGTTTATTACAGAATATGTGTATAAACTCAAAACTAAAAGTTTTTAACACTAATCACTGATAAAGTGAGCCAAAATTTCCTCTGAATAGGCTAATAGTAACAAGTTCTGTTCATCTAGAAATATTCATAATGATAATTAGTGTGAGTCCCAGTGCAGAATGTATAGCCTTGATGTCCTCTGAATGTGTGAAATAAGGCATAATAGCCCAGATAGTAATGTGGCTACTTGCAGATTGAAGAGCCTGTGTTTCATGCTTGGAGTGGGATTTAAATTTTCTCTTTTCTTTACCATATTTAGAATGGCTCTGAAAGCTGCCTCCTTTCCCATCCATTTGGTACTAATGGGTATTTTTATATAAGCAGCTGGAGTGTGAAGCTGAACCCTCATTTATCTGTGACCCCTCCAGCTTCATGAAAGGACTGTAGGTTTTGCAGGCTTTTACAATGGTACTAGCCATACAGAAATTTTCCATTTATGGTTTGTCAGACTGGGTTCTAAAGAAGTTATGTTTCATATTTATATTGTCACCTGTTAGAATGACTCTTAACAGGGTATTGCATTGGAGATTGGATCTGTTGACCACTTACAGGTTATAGCTACAAATAATTATAGCACTATCACCAATTTCCACACTTTACAAATCACTGCTGCACATGCTAAGTCTTCTTAGTCTGCTTTCACTAATCGTTTCCTGGTAACTGATCTTAACAATGGAGATTTTTCAACTGCACTGATCAAGTCTTCTCTTCACAGACTTCCTTACAACTGAGTGCTGACACCTGACTAAATTGTCCCATTGATAACACCTCAGTAGGGAATGCATAGAAAACACTGTTCATTGTTGTACTCCAGTTTTTTTAAGTGGGAACGTGTTTGTTTGCTAAGGTGTTAACCAGTAACAGCTGCATATACTTGCTTATTAAGAATCTGTTGCCTAGCATGAAATGTTTTATTGTTTATTTTGTGGTCATTACCATGTAATGGTTCTGCAAACTACAGAATATTTATTTAGTTATTCTTGGTTTAGGATTATTAATAAATAATGAAATGGAAGAGATATGGAGGCGAGTAGTTGGGGCCTATTTTTAGGTACTCCTCTGGCATTTGCTTGGAAGGCTCAGAAAGGCCACCTGAAATCTTTCATGGATCAGAATTTGAACTCAGAACCTCCTGAATATGAAGCAGAAGTTCTTCCCTCTTCATCATAAGATTTGATTATTATGTTTTTTCTCTAAGATTGTACTGAATATACGCCTTAGTTTACTAGTTTTGATGAGAGTTTTTAATTTTGCTTTAATAACATCAATAGCAGCAGCAATGAGGATGACGACAATGACAACAACAGCACATCCTTTTTGGGGGGGTATTATTGACATACTAGTTTAATGTAATAGCTTCCTTTTTTAATAACCTCCCATGTTGTCAGTATACAGTGTCAAATTTATGTCACTTGTATGAAGTGTGTGTGGCTAGCCATGACTGTTGTGATACTGTAAAGCATTCAATTAAATATATACTTAGAAACAAAGGATAATAAATAGTTTTGAATATGTTTGGTGATTGTAAGAATAAGAATCCTGTAATTGATCATTATATAAACACTTAAAACTGAGAAAGTGTCATTAATTAAACCAATAAACATAAATAATTGAACTGTAGCTTTGTAGAAAACAGTTGAATACCCATAAAATGTCTAGATAAAGAGAAAGGTTATTTATTGTTGCTAGTCTTTATTTTTTCATCAGCCAGAGTAGATAGGAGAAACAGAGGACATATAAATGTGGGAAATTTCCTTAAACAGTTACGCGGGATGAGGACTGGTTACCATTCATGGAAAGACATTTTATTTTATTTTTGTGCTCATGTCAGGGCAATGTTTATTGGCTTTGGTATGGATTACAAAACATTCATTGTGTTTTTAAACTATCTTTATGCCTCTTTTTGCTTAGCTCTTATGAATTTATTCTTTTTTATGCTGTTGAATGCAGGTCAGTGAAACCTCTTCTGTCATCATCAGAGCTCTCTACTACAGAACACCTTGTGAAAGACTTTGGTGAAGGAGATGGGCAGAAACTTCAAAAAATTCTAGAAAACAGAGCTAGAAGTATGGATAGCTGGGTATGATACTATCTAATCAGTATATCACAATCATAATGACACGATTAAAGTGTAATATATCATGTATCTCTCTCTCTCTCTGTGTGTATATATATATATATATATATATATATAGATAGACAGACAGACAGATAATCTGTGCAATCACTTCTCAAAGCCTTAGCTGAAAATAAGCCTTTAAGGTTGCAGAAAACAGTTTTCTTTTCCTGTCAATATTATATATTATTTATGTTGCCAAAATTGTTGTTATTTCACTATACATTCCTTAATGTATTTGAACTTTTTTTTGTCGCAGAATATTAGAAGTGGCTGATTCTGGCCATGTAATTATTTTGCATGTTAAGTGTGTTATTTGACACCATAGTGTGCTATGTTGCCAGGTTGCAGATGGAAGAGATGACCTCCAGATAATGGAGAGTGGATGTGAATATATTAAATAAGCAGTCACATAAAGCTTAAAAGGGCGGTCGTCCAGCGGTGGGTTTGTATGGGACCTAATTCCACCTCATAAAAAACTTATTAAGTTACAAAATTTTGTGCAGGAACTTGGACAGATTTTTTGTGACTAAGCTTTTTTAAAAAAAATTCTGCCCTGTGGATTTACATTTTTTACCCATACGTAAAAGTAAAGCTATCCCTGTAACAGGCCGTGAAGGCCCATAGGGTTGTGAGACGTTAAGGGTCCCACATTACCTTGACAATTGGCTCAAAGATGGCGGTAAGGTTGTCAGCCTTACGTGCTGGCTGCACTTCACTCCGCAGGAAAATCGTTTAATTAATTCCTGGTACTCATTTCTTCTAGAGGCTGAGTAAACCCCAGGGCCTAATGCGACCGGAAGGATTAGGTCAATTGAAGAAAATCCAATGACCTCATCAGGACTTGAACCTGCGACCTTCCGGCTTGTAGCATAGTACCTTAACCACTATGCTACCCTGTACCCCCCATTTTTTTAGCCATGTAAAATGAAATGTGTGTTAAGATTGGAAAATGAATGGAGTATCTGTTATAATTTTATTTTGTGGAAGTACCATACTATTTGGAAGTTGTACTAGTCAAAAGATACCAGGTTGAGCAGAGAGCTTAGCTTTCCCCTCAGTTGTGCAACTGTCATGTGTTTATCATCTTCAAGTCTTAATATTACACTCTTGCTGCATGTTACCGTGCTCTCTGGTATGTGCAGTCAGTATGGATGGCACTACATTTTATTTCATATATATGTTTGTTCATTATAGAGTAAGGTAATTTGAAGATTACATGTTTGAAATATTAATAAAGAATGAACCATTCATCTGATGAGCACTTATCCTCCTGGAGGATTAGGAGTCAAATAAAATGGTTCACACTGACTGGGGGTAATTAAGTGGCCATACCATATACAGGCACACCTCAGAGATATTTCAGGTTTGGTTCCAGATCACTGCAGTAACGCGAGTTACACAAATTTTTGGTTTCCCAGTGCATATAAAAGTTATGTTTACACTGTACTATAGTCTATTAATTGTGCAGTAGCATTGTGTCTGAAATAACAGTGTACATACCATAATTAAGAAATACTTTAATGATAAAAAATGCTAACCACCATCTGAGCTTTCAGCAAGTCATTGATGGCTGTTGACTGATCGGGGTGGTGGTTGCTGAAGGTTGGGATGGCTGTTGCAATTTCTTAAAATAAGATAACAGGGAAGTTTACAGACTCAATTGACTTTTCTTTTCACAAAAGATTTCTCTGTAACATGCAATGCTATTTGATAACATTTTACACACAGTAGAAGTTCTATTAAAACTGGAGTCATTCCTCTCAAACCCTGCTGCTGCTGCTAAGTTTATGTAATGTTCTAAATCCTTCATTGTCATTTCAACATGTTGACAGCAACTTCACCCGGAGTAGATTCCAACTCAAGAAATTACTTTCTTTGCTCATACATAAGAAGCAACTTTTCATATCTTAATATTTTATTATGAGATTACAGCAATTCAGTCACTTCTTCAGGCTCCACTTCTAGTTCTAGTTATCTTGCTATTTCCACCACATCTGCAGTTACTTTCTCCACTGAAGTCTTGAACCCCTCAAAGTCATCCGTGAGAGTTGGAATCAACTTCTTACAAACTCCTGTTAATGTTGATATATTGACCTCCCATGAATCACGAATGTTCTTAATGGCATCTAGAACGGTGAATGCTTTCCAGAAGGTTTTCAGTTTACTTTGCCCAGATCCACTATCTATGGCTATAGCCTTGCTAAATGTATTTCTTAAAGAATAAGACTTGAAAGTCTAAAATTACTCCTTGACCTTCAGTTTGTAAAAAATGCAATATCTGTGAATCGCAATAGAATGAGGTATACCTTTATCAGGCTTGTCTGTGCAGAAGCCTGATGTTCTCTGAAGGCAGCCCATGTGGGATTTGTGGTGAAGAAAGTTTATCTTAAAATTGTTGGGCATATTCATGTTGGTTGGCATTCATCCTGTATTGCTTTGCATTCGTCTGTTACTACTTGTGAGATGTACATTGTAATGGTTTTCCAGCTGATAGTTAGTTTTTGTTTTGTGCATGCTCTCCTTGTAGGCTGTTGAAGTGAATCACTTTCCAGTGTTGCCGCCCAAAATAGGAGTATGAATATATAAGTCTCAGTGAGCCACAGTTAGTACTTCAGAGCAGTAAGTGAGGCTGGAACATGAGGGTTAAAACCATGCAATGTAAGATTATGTATTTGTTTCAGTTAGCTGACTGGTGGCTTACTGCAGCATACTTGGCATACCGACTTCCTGTAGTTGTTCATTCAAACCCTGCCCTTGTGTTTCCACGTCGGCATTTTCAAACAGAAGAAGAATTCCTAAAATATGCTGCTGACCTCACTTTTGCTGCCCTTAACTACAAATCAGACATTGATAAGTAAGGCTGTTATGTTTTTGTAATTAATATAATGTCTATTCTGATTTGGGTTGTACTTCAGGATTATTACATAGTGCAGTCTTGCGTATTATATCTTGTTGTTGTACAGTTGAGTGTTCTGATTTTGGCCATTCATAACCATCCACGCATATATATATAGACACACACACTCTTTAACCGTTCAGCGTGGTTTGACGTGTATGTTTCGTCAGGTATTTAAATCGTCTGCGGGGGTTCGATGTCTATGTTTCGTCCAGCTGCACACCTATGTTATAACGCCCATAATAAATGATGGTTTTGCTGTAGATTGTTAGATTTTTTGCTGGCCTGTTGTCACAAGAACAGTATATAATAAGCCACGAGATTAGCTGCGCTAAGTCATCGTTACATATGCCTGTCTTGCAGCAAAATTCCTGTTGCT